TCAAATGAATAGCTTTTTAAGTGTTTTAAATATTAAGAAAGAAACCAAAATTCTGTAGGTTCATCGATAACTTCTTTGAGACAACTAGAGTAACAAGCAGGATGATGTGTATGCCATCTTGTTTCCATATGGTTTGACTTTCTTCCATTTTTGTTGCTCAGTTTTTTTAGTCATGTCCAACTTTTCATAACCCTATTTTTAGTGTTTTCTTGGCAAAGGTACTGAAGTGGTTTGCCATTTCCTTCTATAGCTCATTTGACACATGAGGAAACTGAGGCAAACAGGGTGAAGTGACTTGCCCACAGTCACACAGCTAGTAAGTGTCTGGGGCCTGATTTGATCTTAGGAATATGAGTCTTTCTGCCTTCAGACCCAATACTCTATCCACTGCACCACCTATTTGCCCCCCTTTTTTTTTCCTGCTAGATATCTATATTTTGAAGACTTATTTTTCATAAGATTAGGAAATAATAAGTATTGAATGTGGCCACTTCTATTGAAAACATTTTTTTTAACTTTTTATGTAATTTTTTAAAGTCTAGGAATTATGGATAATAGTTTTGAGTGTGATAATGCTCATTTTACAGGACACTTTATTCACTGAATTTTCTGTAGCATTTTGGGATCTCTGTTTGTATTATGGGGATTCATTGTCTGTTAAGTTTGAAAGGACAGTGACCTATGGGTGAACAATTTTGACACCTTGATTGTATATAAGTATTTGTTAGGTGCTAAATATTTGCAACAGTACAAAATATGTTGTTGAGTCACTACTGTTTTCTTGTCTAATTTGAACAAATAAACAAGTCGACACTCTTTGAGGATAATCTTATTATAATTCCTGGAGACAATGACCTGAACCTATGTTCAACTCAATTGTTTTTTAGCTGTGTCTGACTCTTCGTGATGCCATCTGGAGTTTTCTTGGCAAAGATACCACAATGATTTTCCATTCCTTCTCCACTTCATTTGACAGAAGAGGGACTGAGGTCAACAGAGTTAAGTGATTTTGCAAGGTCACATGTCTAATCAGTGTCGGAGGCCAGATTTGATCTCAGGCTGACACATCACTCATTAAAAAAAAAAAGGCAAAAGGGGAAAAAAGCAAGAAAAAAAACCACTGGACTCAAGTTTTTCTGTGATCTTTCATTGGTAATTTCTTGTTGGTTGAGTCATACTGCTGCTGTTGCTTATAAAGAACTTTTTGATTCTACTTTTTATTAGCCATTTTATCAGCTCCTTGAAGAAGTAAGCTACTTTTGGTAACTACTGCTTGGCGAACTGATGTCTGCTCTAAAAGTATTTCCATAAGTTTTTGACCTATCATGTGTTCTAATTATAATGTACATTTTAGCATTTTTAGAATATGTGATTTTATCATTATGCATACTTCCTCCATGGATTAAACCTCTTCTATGTCTTGGTAGATGGTCTTCCAGATTTACTGTGTCCAAAATGTTAAATGCCCTGAGAGAAAACTGGTGTTGACCCCCTCAGAATTTGAGGTTTGTTCCATAGGCCACAGGCACACCATGTATCATCAGTGCTAAATACAAAGCCTTCCCTGCTTCATTTATCTCTTAGACTGTGTTCCACTACCATAGCTAAGGAAGGAGGGAAGGAAGGAAAGAAGGAAGGAAGAAAGAAAGGAAGGAAGAAATGAGGGAAATAAAGTAGGAAGGAAACAAAACATGCATTTATTATGTATGTATAATAAGTATGATATTAAGCACAGGAACTGTGTTACGGGCACTACAAATATTAAGTCATTTGTTCCTCAGTATAATCCTTGGAGTTCCTTGCTATTATTATTTCCATTTTATAGTTGAGGAAACTGAGGCAAAAGAAATTAAGTGATAAGTTATGGCCACATAGCTAGTGGATTTTTTCTCACATGTTCTAGACCTCAGATTAAGCATTCTTTATCCACTGGGCCACTTAGCCATCTTTATGTTATTGAGTGATATAACTTTTAACAATAACTTTGAATGACAAGGAATTAATAAAGTATGATTTCATTTGGAGAAAAATGTGGAGTAATTAAAAGTCATTTAATTTTTTTCTGCAATGTGGAATGAAGTCTTAACTTAGGTTTTGTGTGCTAGGGCAGGGAAGGACACGGTCATGTTCATTCAGTCATACGGTGAAACTCAGTGTTTCTTAGAATCTCTCAGTAAGTCCACTGTTGTTACTTTTATTACAGACATCATTTGTTAAATATTTTAATAGCACTGTTTTTTTCAAGGGTTTTGTACAACATAGATATGAGTGTACTTTACTCAAATTTTCAATGTTCCTGAGAGTATGTCCTCCCCAAATGTCTTTCTTACTTATACTGGAAGTTTCTCATTAGTGCCTGACTTCCTCAGGAACAGAGAAAGTTCCTAAGTGTATCTTCCTTAAATTGTCTTTGTTTCTCATAAAGAGATATAATTTTGATTGTAATTAATAATAATAATAATAATAATAATAACATTTATATAGTTTTTATGTCTTTTGACTCATGTATAAGTTAGATATAAGTGAGGCAGAGTTATGCTAAGTCATCAGCATCACTTCAGAGTCATTGGAGTCTAGTGGCTACTATATCTGAATCCTTGAGAGTTCTTGCAGAGAAGTAAAATATAGCACTGGAAAGTTAGGCTGGGGCCAAATTGTGAAGATCTTGAAATGAGAGAGAAGTTTCTATTTAGGGAACAGGCAAAGTTCGTCGATTGCATGATGGCATGGGAAGAACTATACTTTAGAAAAATAATTTTAGTGGTTAATTGGAGGATGGATCAGAATGGAGGAAAACTTAAGAGAGGGAAACCAATTAAATTGTTATTGCTATAATCCAGGTGAGAGGTGATGAGGATTTAAATGACTGTAGTTGTCTTGTGAGTGGAGAAAGGGAATATATATGTTATAAAAATCAGTAATGACAGAATTTGACAGTTATTGGACTTAGAGATATATTGAATTATTTGATTTTGAAAATGGAAGTTCTGCAAAGCATTTTTTCCCCATTGATGATGTTTGAAAGATAAAATCCTAGCAATAGAACCTCTGGGTCAAAAGCACTGACCTTATTATATTTACTTCACAAATCTTTGTATCATCTGTAGTCCTGGAAGCTTTTATTTCCCCATGGTCTTGCCATTACTTCATCTTGTTAATTTAAAATATTATATATTTTTGTGGCTGCAACATGGTATCTCAAGGTTGTCTTACTTGCATTTCTCTTATTATTTGATTATTTCACATGGTTATTTAAAAATCATATCTCATTCTTTGGAAATGCCTAGTTATATCTTTGACCATTGATTTATTTGGCACACATGATAATAAGTCTTTTATACTTCAAAATATTCACAATAATCTACTAAATACTTGGTTCCACATATAATAAAATCCTGTTTCATAGAGACAGTCTTAGTTTTACTGTCACCAGCAAGAGACCATCCTATTAAGAAATTGTAGAGATTTCACATATCATTTATTACATAGGCTTGGCTTGACAACCTGAACTTACAAAAGAAGGATATGCTTAGAGATGATTTGTCACACCATATAAGTATTCCCCTCCAAATTCCCTCACACAATAAGATGTAATTAAAATGTAATAAGGTTTAATTTACAATATTTAGTCAGCAATCAACTTTTTCCAGATAATAGAAAGGCATTTAGAGGTCATTTAGTCAATTCAATTTGATTCAACATATATTAAGTAGTTACCATATATAAGGCACTGTCCAATTTTTATTCAAGAGGGATTAATACTCTTCTATCACAACTTTAACCTCATTTAAATAAAGATAGGCACATCCTGAATTCTAAAGTCTTTATAAAAATCAGCATTTGTCTCTTTGTTCTCAAACAACCTACAATTCTAATTCATGTATACCCAATTACTGGTTCTATTGTTAGTAATACTCATTTATCTCCCAAACAAAACCATTTTATAGTAGGGAACAGTAAATACGTCTCTGAAGTTTGGGGGCAACATAGCATAATGGATGCCATTAAGGTTTTGGTGTCAGAAATACTCAGGTTTACGTATTTCTTCTGGTATTACTCTGCCTCCTTAGACAGGTTATATAATCTCTATGTGATTCAGGTATTCCCACAGTGAAGGCTAAGACTGAAAAATTCATTGAAACTATGAATATGCAATGGATTTCTTTTTACTACTGTCTCAGCTTCATACACCTATGGGTGATGAGTAACTATTTGCCACCTACTTGACAGTTCAAGAGATCAGTTTAATACAGTACTTATGTATGTAAGACATTAGAGTGAAATAAAATAATATAGGTAGACAACAGCACTTTAGTGTACCTTTTACTTTGTATAATGGTCTCTTTAAAAATAGACTAAAATATATGAATTGGATAACATTATCTATGAGGATAAATACATCTTTATGACTGGTCATTCACCTAAGAAAATGAATGAAGTGTATGTTTGTTTATATGCAATGTTAGATAGATTTCAGTATAGAGACAAAAGGTTTCTTCAACCGTAAAAGATCAAAAAGGAGAATGGGTAATTACAACAGATGATGGGTTTTGCCTCATTTGGGCCTGGAAGAAAAGGAAGAAACACACATGAAATGACTGATAGGTGCCAGGTACTGTGCTAAGCTCTTAACAAATATCTCATTAGATCCTCACATCAATCCTGTGAGGTTGATGCTATTATTATCCCTCCCCCCTTTATAATTGAGGAACCTGAGGAAAACAAGTTAAAACTGCTGCCCAGGGTCACATAGCTGTCAAGAGTCTGAGGCAGGAGTTGAACTCAGGTCTTCCTGACTCCAGGCCCAGTGATCTAGCTACTGTACCACCTGGAGGCCTTTAAGCATATGATTATTTATCAGGGATATAGTGGCAATGATTCTTGTTCAAGTGGATATTGAACTCGATGACCTATATCACCACTTACAATGTCCTTGACATATTGCGTCCTATGATTAAATTATTGATGTTTTCATATTTGAAGTCAATGGATTCTATGGATTATTTTAGAAAACAAGCCCTATTAATAGCTTTCTTCATTGCCTCTTTTACATCCTTGTTCCTTAAGCTGTAGATCATGGGATTCAACATAGGAATGACTGTGGTATAAAACACAGCCACCATTTTCCCCTGTTCTACTGACTCCTCTGTGGGGCGCCTGAGATACATGAAAATGAGTGTTCCGTAGAACATAGTAACAGCTGTGAGATGAGAGCCACAGGTGGAGAAAGCCTTCTTTCTCCCCTCTGCAGAGCGCATGCAGAGGATGGCCACGACAATGAATGTGTAAGAGATCAGCACCACAGACAGAGAGTATGTGAAATTGATTCCTGCAATGACAATCATGGTATATTCCTTGATGTGGATGCCACCACAGGCTATTTTGATGAGTGGGGGATCGTCACAATAGAAGTGGTTGATTTCAAAGTTTCCACAGAAATACAACCCATAGGTCCACAAGGTGCAAATGAGGCTTACAGAGAAGCCATAAACATAGGGCACTGAGATTAACCGAACACAAACTGTCCTTGACATTTTGCTCCCATAAAGCAGAGGGTTACAGATAGCCATAAATTGATCAAAGGCCATTACAGCCAGGATATAGACCTCTACGTGGACAAGAGCAATAAAAAAATAACACTGTACTAAACACCCAACATAGGAAATGGTTTTGGTCTTGGATAATAAATTTTCCAACATCTTTGGGGTGACATTAGAAGACAACCATACATCCACAAAAGACAAGTGGCTGAGAAAGAAATACATGGGACTCTGGAGCTGGGGACTGACACTGATTAGCATGATCATGCCAAGATTGCCCACCAGAGTGATAATATACACAATTAAGAAAACCACAAAAAAGAAGACCTGGAGGTCCTGGTGACTAGTTAGGCCCAAAAGGATGAATTCAGTCACATCTGTGTAATTTGGGCGTGGCATTGCCTTAGCTCTGCCTCAGGCTTAGTGTCATTGGCTCTGTATTATCTGTTGAGAGAAATAGAAATTGTGAATGTCCTCGGCAATGTCAATAATCCTGTTTATTATTATTTCTAAAAAAATTAAAACAAAAGAAAACCTCTTAGTCTTTTCATATTCTCTTATTTTTTACATATTTCCCATTCCCTATGCCACAACACCACTACAGCTTTTATAGAGTATCCAGGGAAGAGAAGAACACTAGGAGTCTACAGATACAGTAGTACAATGACTCAAAGTATTTAATTCAGTATATCTTACAGCATGAAATGTAATATGGCATAGGAGTTAGAGTACTGGACTCAAATTCATGGGGAGTTGGTTACAACTCCTGCTTCTGACACTTTTCTATTTTCATTACCAAAGGATAGTTACTTAATCTTTGTGCCTCGGTCAACCGTATAAAACTTGAAGTTATAAATTACTTTGGCTTGACATTGGTAAGTAGAGTTCCCACAGGGATGAAATCATGGATCCTTCATACCTTTCTGGTAGCAAGTTAACCACTATCCACATGCTTTTATTTCCTTAGATATTTAGACCTAGACCATAGGCCATCTGAACTAGAATGGCTCTAGTTCTTCTAGCACAAACTCCTCATTGTTTAGAAAACTTTTAATGGCTTCTGTTTGCTTAAATGGCTTGCTGAAGGTCAAAGTGGCAGAGACAAAACTTGACCCCAGTTCTTCTATAGCAAATTAAATTCTCTTATTTGGGTATAAGGTATTCAAGTACTTATAATTTAAAGATGACAGGATTTTAGATTTTTGAGGTGAGGGGTACCTCAGAGGTCATGTAGTAACATTCCTTCATTTTGTAGACCAGGAAAGTAAGATTCAGAGAAGTTAAGGGACATCACAAAGTTCACATGAGAAAGAAATGACAGAGATGGGATTTGAGCCCAGTCCTTCTGATTTCGAATTCCTTTCCTATACAATAAATTAGCTTCTGTGTTTGCCTTTATCACTGTTTTCATAGATTATAAAATTTAGAGTTGTAATCAACATTGTTGATCATCTGGTCATTGTCAATGAACTTGTTTTGTTCCCCAATATTTTGATCAATCTCTTTCAATATATATTTGGTTTCTTTCGTAATATTATGCATTTTAAGGCATTTGAACACTTTTTTTTAGAAGATGTCCTTGACTTCAGCTAACTTTCAAATCTTTCCTTGATATACACAAAAAAGTTAAGAACCCATGATTTAGTACAATTTCATTATTTTCAAGATGATACTAAATCCCAAAAGTGTTAAGTGATTTCCTCATACTGATGGGACAACTTTGAGATATAGACAATCAAACTCTCTATAGTCATTATTTGAACTGTTTGAACAATAAATACATGAGAATGTCCTTAGGAATTTAGAATGGAGGTAGTAGGCTAAATTGAAAAAAAGAAACTAAAGTTGAGATATACAAAGTAACTTTAAGGAGTAGGCATTAGAGGTCCAATTTGTATGTATTTTTTATTCAAGTTCTATACTCTAATAATGTATGTCTTAAACCTCTCATAGTTCTTTTTGCAGATGCTATCCTTGGAAAATGCTAAATGTTCAACTAAAAAGTTAGCAGAAGCAATAATTCAAGCATGGCAGCAGAATACAAAACAATGAATCATCTGCATTTGTATGTATCACCAACAAAACTCTGCAAGAAGAGATAGTAAGAAATACCTCATTAAAAACAACTGTAGATATATTATCTACAATATTATCTATTTTCTAAAATATCTGAGAGTATACCTACCCAAACAAACCCAGGAACTACAAGAACATAACTACAAAATATTTTTGATACAAATAAATCAGACTTAAATAATTGGAAATATTAATTGTTCATGAATAGGCAGGGCCAATGTAACAAAAATGACTATTGCAACTAAATATATCTATTTATTCAATGACATTGCAATTAAATTACCAAAAAAAATTTATGAAGTTAGAAAAAATAACAAAATTCAATTGAAAGAACAAAAGGTCAAGAATATGAAAGGAATTAATGAAAAAAAATCTAACGTAAGGAAGTTATTGTTTCTTAAACCATACTTTAAGGCAGTGATTATGAAAACTATCTGGTACTATCTAATAAATATACAGTAGCAAATGATAATAGTAACATTGCATTTGACAAATGTAAAGATTTAAGCTTTTGAAATAAGAATTTGTTATTTGATAAAAATTCTTGGTAAAGCAAGAAAACAGTCTGGTTAAAATTGGACATAAACCAGTATCTTATACAATTTACCAAAATAAAGCCAAAATGGATACATGACCTATCATATTTATAGACAGGAGAACAATTTATGAATAAACTAGATATAGAGTATTGTGAGGTATAAAATTGATAATTTTGATTGCAGTAAGTTTAAAAAAGGTTTTGTACAAACAAAACCAATGTAGTCAAGATTAGAAGGAAGACAGAAAATTAGGAGAAATTTTTAAAGTCTTTTATTTTCAGATTAAGGTATCATGTCTCAAATATAGGAAGAACTTTATTAAATTTATAAGAACATTAGTCATTCCTCAATTGATAAATGATCAAAGGATATGAATAGGCAATTTTTTTTGATGAAGAAATCCAACACTACAGTAATGTAAAAATGTTCTAAGTCAGTATTGATTAGAGAAATACAAATTAAAACAACTTTGAGATATCATCTTACACCTATCAGATCGGCAAAAATCATAGAAGGGGAAAGTGACAAATATTTAAGAGGATGTGTAAACATTGGCAAACTAAATACCTGTTGGTGGAACTGTGAACTGATCTAACCATTTTGGATGGCAATCTGGAATTATGCCCACAGGGTTGTAAACTGTGCATAATCTTTAACTCAGCAATACTACTATTAGGCCTATTTCCTAAGGTCATTAGGAGAAAAGGAAAAAAAAAAGAAACCCTATATATTGTAAAATATTTCTGGTAGCTCTTTTTGTTTTGGCAAACAAGAAATTAAGGGGATGGCCATCAATTCGGCAATAGCTAAACAAATTGCTTATATGATTTTGATATGATACTACTGCTCAATAAGAAATAATGAGCTGAGTGATTTTAGAAAAAAAACACAGAAAGACATGCATGAAAAAGTGAAGAGTGAAATGAGCAGAACCAAGAAAACATTGTACCTAGTAATAGCAATATTGTTCTAAGAACTTTGGCCAGCTAAGTCATTGCATTACAAGTACTCAAATCAGCTACTTTTCGAAAGACTTAGGAATGCCATCCACATTCAGTGAAAGAACAGTTTTATATACACATACACATGAGTACATATGTACATATTTATAAATGCACAATTATGTATATGTGTGCATATATACACACATACATACATATACACATATACATACATACACATATGAGGAGGGAGAGAGAAAAAATAAAAAGTGCACAGCAGAGAACAAAAGAAAAATTAAAAGAAAGAGCAGAAAGGCAGGATAACTGAAAATGATGTGTAGTGTTTATTACATATTTTTAAATCAACAGTGTGAAATTAAAATTCATGATTTTATGTTGAAACCCCTTTAAATGTTGTGCTATGTACGTGGCCATATTTCCCCTTTTTAAAATCTTCTTGTATTTGAATTCAAAATGATTCAAAAAAAAACCTTTCGTGGCACTTTGCCTTACACATCCCTTAATTCATTTATTATATAATATTTTTTGACAATTTTCTGGGCTGATGTCATCTAGTCCTATTTGACCTCAAATGTTGAAAGAACAGGAACTATATCTTACCTAACACATCATCCATCTCCTAGGATCTATCATAGTATTTTACCTACAGTAGGTACTAAATAACTACCTTGTGTTTTAGCACCCTTTAAATTCATCCTGAGAGGTAGCATGGGATAAAGGATAGTTGACTGTCCTAGGAAGGCTTGAGCTCAAATATTGCCTCAAATATTCAGACATTTACATATTTGTTAAGTGACCAGTGATAAATAATGTATTGAACCACCCATTGCCCCACAACTCTTGCAGTTACATAAAATAGACTCCTCCAACAAGATGTATGGGTCACTATGGGCATTCTCCATTCTTCTTCTAAAACTTTACAAAACAGCAACGATGTACCTCTATCAGTTTCTCAAAGTCATGTAATAAGTTTGGAACTGGTTGGAACCTTAAAGTTCACCCTAATTTACATAATTTATCTGAGGCTTCCAGAGAGATTAAATGACTTGTCCGAGGTCAAACAGTTAGTTTATTTTCCACATATGGAATTTACAAGATATTTTAATGGTACTCACTTCATTTAAAAGTCTTTGCTCTTTTCCTTAAGTTCATATTGAAAAAAAATAAGCAAGCAAATACATACAAATAAATGAGATAATTTTTCTCCTTGATGTCAGAGGCTATACAGGGTAGCATAACCTCTTCAGAGCAGACTGGTCAAATTTCCATGGTGAAAGGTCATTAGAAAGTAATATCGAAGGTCTATTCATCTCCCTTAGTGTAAGTGACCCTAAAAGTCCTCAAGTAAATGCACACTCTTAGAACAGCATTATCTAGAGTTTGTTGTTTGATTGTTTTAATAAGAACCTGAGGAAGGGAAATAATGGCCTCAGATACATAATTAGTAATTTCTTATAACAAGGCAAGCATGACAAATCACACCCTCTGGTAAACTTTCAAAGAAGAAAGATTAATTTTGGAGAGAGAACTTAGCACTCAATACTCTGTAGCAAGAAAGAATCTGTGATGGCAAGAGAGATAACTGGGACACCTCCCAGCTTTGGTGACAACTAAGTGTCATCCCGAGATGCTTGGTAGGTAGTTTGCCACAGGTAGAGGGACAAGTGTAAGCTGGGCCACCGAGAAGCTTACTTAGATGTAGAAATCCAGTTTAAAAAGTGATAACTTGTAGTTTATTTTTACAACTTAATTGTTTCTATCTGTTCAAATATTGATGATATATTAGCAACTCATAGATTTCACTGTCCCACGATCAAGCTCT